AGGGGATGTGCAGCTTAAGAATTCCCATTCTGACCATCGGCCATCATGCTGCCTCCGTTAGGCATAGTGCTAATTTTGTCCGCGAGTTTTGGATCAACGGGCAGCTAGCTCCCCTACTATCATATCTTTAGACGAGTGATGCGAATAATCGTTAAACTGACAACGTTTAGCGGAACATTGTATTTACATCACCATACATACAATTATGTCGTCTTCCCTTTAGTAATAACACATTTCGCCCTTGTATAAATGTAAACAATGTTTCGTAGGTAGATTCCTTTGGGTGGTAATTCGACACAGAAAGGTAAATAAAAATGCAGTAAATACTTTTTGACTTGTACTATCACAATTATCCTTACATCAGGTGGTAAATCGTAATATTAAAGACTATTGCGCTTCCTTTGCAAGAACTGTCACATTTTCTAATATCAACATTATTCATATGGACCGTTCTGTAAATTGATGAAAACAGAACTGTCAAAATCTAAGCTATATCATGGCTGCACCGTTGTCAAGTGTTGGTAAATGTTAGCAAAAAGGCTTGTTTCTAAATTTTGGATAGATTATTATTCATTTATGTTAGAATAATAATCATTTTGAGGGTCTGATATAGAATTTGTTACCTAGATATAATTTTTGTGGAGTATAATTCATTTCTATGAAGCACCATTTGAAACACATCATATTTTCCAATCAATTATTCAGCTGGACCTTTCCACATTCAATAGTGGACTATTATAAGTGTACAATCTAATATTAAAGATTAAACAATGTGATGAGTGTGAATAAATATTGAATAAAATTGATAACAAATTATTTTACTGTAAAACTTAGTAAAAATGTACAATGTATAATAGTCAGTGCATCTTTATGCTTCCTGGCACAAAGTTCCAACGGGTGAATTAAGAAGTAATACAAATGATAACAATGTGTATTCATTATAAAAAATTGCTGAATTGTGATGCAGTATTTACAATTTTCCATACAGACCCGAAACATTTAAATGATTTAATCCAAATGATGTTTATGTTGGTACTCCATACAAAAAGTCTGAAAGAAGTCCCTTGAAAAAAATGGAGGATATTTGAAAAAAAAAAAAGGTTTGATTATATGGACGTGGTGTGCTAAAACAAAGATAGTTTCCAAAATTTGAAGTCTTGATGGTTGTAGTGTATATATTCAGGTATCTCTGTGAGACTTTGTGATTTCCCATGTTGAGTTGTTTACCATGTAGCTGCGAAGTGCTGAATGGTATATTTGCTTTATATTTTCCAAAGTTACAAATTCCAAAGTCATTATTTTTGATTTTCATCCATTTTTTTTTGGTTCAGTATCATCAAAAGAATGTTAAGACACCAAAATAAAGGCACTAAAGGTGGTGTGAATGATTTTTTGAGGACCCCCCATTTCAGGTGTTGTGACAATTTTTGTCACTTAAAGGGGCTAAATTGCTAATATTTTGGACCTAGAAATTGACACAAATGGGTCGCAGCGCATATAATAATCTAATATGAATGTATATAAACTGATTTACATTCATTCGTTTCTGTTTTTACTGTAACTTTTAATCAGTTAAGTTCCGCGAAATACGCCAGAAGTCTCAATCGAATGCCAATCTCTAGCGTCTGGTTATTCCATTCTACACCGATAGTATTTACTGGGCATGCTCTTCAGATACGAATATGACGTCATCGTTTGACATGACTAGTGGAATATGCCTAGCCTCTTTTTTCAAGCCCCTTATTACAAATGGCGCTGAAACGCATTATGGTATACGATTCGTGTACCAATTGTAAAATGTTTATTTTGTCTTAAATATTGGATATCAGAAGCCCACCCTTTCCCGCTAAGATCACAACATCAATGTTGATTTAAATTGACAAATAATTTGTGTTTTCAATGTCGAAGATTTTGGATGATATTGACTTCGCTTACTTTAAGTATTTACCTTGCCCTTAAGATTATCCTAAGTAGAAAGTTCTTGAATAGACAGTTAAATTGATTTTTCATCGTCCATCGCTGTGTTTGCGGCAATGATATTAACTCATAAATATTCAAAGTATTTGCGGTTTTATCTATGTTTTTTTTTTGTGTTTTGTATATACCCCGATGTAACAGGAAAGTTTCTTAAAGAGTTTTGACTTCGAGAGATTTGTATTCCCATTAAGAATCGGTTATATATCTTATATTTAAGATTGGTGAATTGCATTCAGATCAATCATTATCATTTATCTCAAGTAAAAAACAATATGACAGAATCCTATTCTAATTTTTTTTTCTATATATATACGTTTTGTATTTTATAAAGATAGGTTGCCAGGCAACGAAACATACGCTCACAGCAGCTAAATCGTCCGAGCAGTCGACAAGGGTTTTCGCATATTTATTCCTTTGTAGGTAATTGGGGGCCTTTACAAAACAGTTCCATACAGATCAGATTATAAATTTTGTCATTTGAGGGTTCACAAGGTTCTACAAACTGAAACAAGGGTCTCAACTCTGGAAGTAATCAACAGAAATTGTTGAAATTTGACAGGCTTTTTCGTTTTACTAATTTAAATAATGCATATAAATTTCATACAGATCACATGATCACTTTTGTCATTCAAACGTTCACAAGGTTCACAATTGTCATAACTCTAGAAATTATTGACTGAAATTGCTGAAATTCAATAGATCTCTCTTTCACAAATTTAAATGATGCATATAAATTTCATACATATCGAATGATAACTCTAGAAGTAATAAACGGAAATTGCTGAAATTCAATAGGATTCTTCTTGACTAACTGTAGAAATAATTGACGGAAATTGCTGAAATTCAATAGGATTCTTCTCTTGACTAATTTAAATGGCACATACAAATTTCATACAGATCGGCAGTTAACTTCTGATATTAGAGCGTTCACAATGTTCAATAAAGTGAAACAAGGGCCATAACTCTAGACATAATAAACAAAAATTGTTGAAATTCATTAAGCTTCTTCGTTTCACTAATTTAAATAATGCATATAAATTTCAGAAAGATCGGATGTTAACTTTTGCCATTAGAGCGTCCACAAGGTTCAACAAATTGAAACAAGGGCCATAACTCTAGAAGTAATAAACGGAAATAGCTGAAATTTAATAGGCTTCTTTGTTTCCCTTATTTAAATATTGCATATAAATTTCACAAAGAACGGATGTTAGCTTTTGGCAATAGAGCGTTAACAAGGTTCAACAAAGTGAAACAAGGGCCATAACTCTAGATGTTATTAACAGAAATTATTGAAATTAAATAGGCTTCTTCATCTCACTAATGTAAACAACATATATCAATTTTAAAACAATTGGATGATAACTTTTGGCGTTAGAGCGTTCACAAGAAACTGTGGACGATGGACGGACCGACGGACAGACAGGGGCGACAGCAATATACGTCCACATTTCTATGTGGGCGTATAAAAATAGTAATATTTACTTCAGAGGTAAACTCAATGTCCCTAGATGTAAACGGATAACTTCAAAGCACTAAATCTGAAAACATTCTAAGGAATAACAGCTTGAAAATGTGTTACAGTTTATGTCCAAATACAAACACCAATATACGAACCGTTTAGTTTTCAGGACATATATGTCATTCTGTCCTGCTGCAAAGTTCATGACATCACCAACTGTGGCCATATTTTAATGCTACGACTAAATTAGGTAAAAACAAATGAGGCTGAAGTCCCCCGCCGAAACCCCAAAATAAATAAATGGCACATACAAATTAATTGCACATTTATCATTTTCAAATGTATCGAGCAGTCAAACTAATAAACTATACTTAGTCTAAGCATAAAATGTTCACAATCAGACTCAGTCAATGTTTTGAAGTACCTGGTAGTGACACTACACACTAAGTTTCATCACTTAGAATCAAAGTTATCTTGTCCCAAGTATCGACCAATGAAATTACGTGCGTTCACAAAGTGCAACAAAGTGAAACAAGGGCCATAACTCTAGAAGTAATAAACGGAAATTGCTTGACTAATTAAAATGACACATGTAATTTTCATACAAATCGGCAGAGCGTTAGAGGGTTCCCATGGTGCAACAAAGTGAAACAAGGCCAATAACTCTAGAAGTAATTGACAGAAATTGCTGAAATTCAATAGACTTTTTCGTGTCACTAATTTAAATCATGCATATAAATTTCACAAAGACCGTGTGATAACATTTGGCGTAGGAGCGTTCACAAGGTTCAATAAAGTGAAACAAGGGCCATAACTCTAGATGTAATAAACGGAAATAGCTGAAATTCAATAGACTTCTTCGTTTCATTAATTTAAATCATGCATATAAATTTCACAAAGATTGGGTGATAACTTTGGGTATTAGAGCATTCACAAGATTCAATAAAGTGAAACAAGGGCCATAACTCTAGACATAATAAACGGAAATTGCTGACATTCAATAGGCTTCTTCGTTTCACTAATTTAAATCATGCATATAAATTTCACAAAGATTGGGTGATAACTTTTGGCATTAAAGCGTTCACAAGGCTCATCAAAGTGAGACAAGGGCCATAACTCTAGATATAATAAACGGAAATTAGTGAAATTAAATAGGCTTCTTCATCTCACTAATGTAAACAACATATATCAATTTTAAAAAAATTGGATGATAACTTTTGGCGTTAGAGTGTTCACAAGAAATTGTGGACTATGGACGGACCGACGGACAGGGGCGACAGCAATATACGTCCACATTTCAATGTGGGCGTATAAAAATGGTTGCTATTTTTTCTTAATATTATATTTTGATTGTATGAATTTCCTTTTTGTGATGTTTAGAAATTACGTTTATATCGTGAGTGCTGTTATTTTATTGTGTGTGTCATCACTTAATATTTGTGAAGACAGTGTCCCATCTGCGAGAATTGTTTTAGTTTGGTATTTACTAAATTTATTAAATAACTCGTGGGTATGATAGGATTGTGACAAAGTGCCCTATAACTTCCATCAAATTAAACGATCATTTAGATGCAGTGAATTTATTGACGCTAGCTGGTTTTGATAATAGATGATATTGGCTTTTCAACTATACACTTTGTTCTACAAACGTACGCACTAATTAAAGACTATCAATTACACATATATATCTATATTTATATCAGTCAGCGAAATTAAGATAACTTGTAAATGTCATATATAGTAATGATCTTGTGAGAGTAGACCCAGATGAAAGGTATATAACCACCAGTTTACTGACAGAGAAATAGAGACAAGCGGGGAGGAGAAAAGAGGAGCAGAGACCGGCGAATGGGTTAATCCAAGTTCAGCCGCTGCCGAGGCAGAAGGGCGGAATGGTTAAAATATAGTCATATACAATACTAATGTACCTTGTTGATGTTTGACTATGTGCATGTGTATTTATGCTCCTCTTCCCGATGTAAATAAATAAAATAGTGTTACAAGAAGCACGGTTGTCCACAAGATTCTACTATGGCAAGCAGTAATAAATAAGTTGAAGGAAAACCACATAATATCTATATTTAAGGTTAAATTACAGGGTCAAACAACTTTTAAGGCTGCATGAAATGCTTTTACGTTAGTTTGGGTTAATATTATTTCCATATTAAAGAAACACATTAGAACTTAACTCAATGCCAAATATTCTTATTCTAACATACAATAAGATAAGTTGCCAGGCAATGAAACATACGCCCACAGCAGCTAAATCGTCCGAGCAGTTGACAAGGGTTGTCACATCTTTATTCCTTTGTAGGTAATTGGGGGCCTTTACAAGACAGTTCCATACAGATCAGATTATAATTTTTGCCGTTTGAGGGATCACAAGGTTCTACAAATTGAAACAAGGGTCTCAGCTCTGGAAGTAATCTACAGAAATTGTTGCATATTAATTTCATACATTTCGGATGATAACTTTCATCAATTGAGCATTAACAAGGTTGAACAAAGTGAAACAAGGGCAATAACTCTAGAAGTAATAAATGGAAATTGCTGAAATTCAATAGGATTCTTCTCCTTACTAATTTAATTTCATACATTTCGGATGATAACTTTCATCAATTGAGCATTAACAAGGTTGAACAAAGTGAAACAAGGGCAATAACTCTAGAAGTAATAAACGGAAATAGCTGAAATTCAATAGACTTCTTCGTTTCATTAATTTAAATCATGCATATAAATTTCACAAAGATTGGGTGATAACTTTGGGTATTAGAGCGTTCACAATGTTCAATAAAGTGAAACAAGGGCCATAACTCTAGACATAATAAATAGAAATTGTTGAAATTCATTAAGCTTCTTCGTTTCACTAATTTAAATAATGCATATAAATTTCAGAAAGATCGGATGTTAACTTTTGCCATTAGAGCGTCCACAAGGTTCAACAAAGTGAAACAAGGGCCATAACTCTAGAAGTAATAAACGGAAATAGCTGAAATTTAATAGGCTTCTTTGTTTCCCTAATTTAAATATTGCATATAAATTTCACAAAGATCGGATGTTAATTTTTGGCTATAGAGCGTTAACAAGGTTCAACAAAGTGAAACAAGGGCCATAACTCTAGATGTTATAAACAAAAATTATTGAAATTAAATAGGCTTCTTCATTTCACTAATGTAAACAACATATATCAATTTTAAAACAATTCGATGATAACTTTTGGCGTTAGAGCGTTCACAAGAAATTGTGGACGATGGACGGACCGACGGACAGACAGGGGCGACGGCAATATATGTCCACATTTCTATGTGGGCGTATAAAAATAGTAATATTTACTTCAGAGGTAAACCCAATGTCCCTAGATGTAAACGGATAACTTCAAAGCACTAAATCTGAAAACATTCTAAGGAATAACAGCTTGAACAAGTGTTACAGTTTATGTCCAAATACAAACACCAATATACGAACCGTTTAGTTTTCAGGACATATATGTCATTCTGTCCTGCTGCAAAGTTCATGACATCACCAACTGTGGCATATTTTAATGCTACGACTAAATTAGGTAAAAACAAGCCAACAGTGAGGCTGATGTCCCCCGCCGAAATCCCAAAATAAATAGATGACACATTAATTAATCGCACATTTATTTTTTTCAAAAGTATCGAGCAATCAAATTATACACTAAGTTTCAGCACTCTCTATCAGATAGAATCAAAGTTATCTTGTCCCAAAGCATCGACCAATGTTAATAATTGAACTCAGCCATGACATGACAGCAGAAAATACTCATTATCAAACTTAGTCAAGGTAATGATATAATAAAGCTATACACCAAGTGTCCTCACTCTCACTTAATTAGATCTAAAGTTATCGTGTCCCAAAGCATCAACCAATCAAATTGCTTATCCCTGCTTACTCTAAGCAAAAAATTCTCATCTTCACACTCCATCAAGGCATTCACCTAATAGCCACCTATGCCAAGTGTGAACATTCTAACTCAACTAGAATGAGAGTTATTGTGTTCTAAAGTCTCGACCAATCAAATTGCTTATCTCTGCTTAACCTAAGCACAAAATGCTCATCTTCGAACTCAATCAAGACATTAACCTAATAAACACCTACACCAAGTTTGAACATTCTAGCTCAATTAGAAAAGGAGTTAATGTGTTCCAAAGTCTCGGCCAATCAAATTGCTTATCGCTCTGCTTACCCTAAGCAGAAAATGCTCATTATCGAGACTTAGTCAAGGTATTGATATAATAAAGCTATACACCAAGTGTCCTCACTCTCCCTTTTAATTAGAACTAAAGTTATCAGGTCCCAAAGCATCAACCAATCAAATTGCTTATCTCTGCTTACCCTAAGCGGAAAATGCTCATCTTCGAACTCCATCAAGGCATTGACCTAATCAACACATACACCAAGTTTGAACATTCTAGCTCAATTAGGAAGAGAGTTATCGTGCCCCAAAGTATCAACCAATCAAATTGCTTATCTCTGCTTACCCTAAGCAGAAAATGCTCATCTTCGAACTCCATCAAGGCATTGACCTAATAAACACATACACCAAGTTTGAACATTCTAGCTCAATTAAAAGTTATCGTGTCCCAAAGCTTCAACCAATCAAATTGCTTATCTCTGCTTACCCTAAGCGGAAAATGCTCATCTTCGAACTCCATCAAGGCATTGACCTAATAAACACATACACCAAGTTTGAACATTCTAGCCCAATTAGGAAGAGAGTTATCGTGTCCCAAAGCATCAACCAATCAAATTGCTTATCTCTGCTTACCCTAAGCGGAAAATGCTCATCTTCGAACTCCATCAAGGCATTGACCTAATAAACACATACACCAAGTTTGAACATTCTAGCTCAATTAGGAAGAGAGTTATTGTGTCCCAAAAAGTGTGACGGACAGACAGACGGACAGACGGACAGACGGACGGACGGACGGACGGGCGGGCGGGCGGGCGGACGGACGGACGGACGGACGGACGGACGGACGGACGGACGGACAGACAGACAGACAGACAGACAGACAGACAGACAGACAGACAGACAGACAGACAGACAGACAGACAGACGGACGAACCCATTTTAATAGTCCCCTGCTTTCTTCGAAAGGCGGGGGACAACAAATGAGGCTGAAGTCCCCCGCCGAAATCCCAAAATAAATAGATGGCACATACAAATTAATTGCACATTTATCATTTTCAAATGTATCGAGCAGTCAAACTAATTATCTATACTTAGTCTAAGCATAAAATGTTCACAATCAGACTCAGTCAATGTTTTGAAGTACCTGGTAGTGACACTACACACTAAGTTTCATCACTTAGAATCAAAGTTATCTTGTCTCAAAGTATCGACCAATGAAATTACTTAGGCCCTGCTTAGCTTTAGGCGGTAATGTTACTCATTGAACATTCAGTCAAAGCATTCACCTAATGAACATCTACATCAAGTTAAAAACATTCTATCTCAATTAAAAGCAGAATTGTTATGTTCCAAAGTCTTAACCAATCAAATTGCTTTTCACTACTTAGCATAAGCAGAAAATTCTCAACGACATAGTCAATACTCAGGAGATTTTTCGCTCTCCCCCAATTAGAACCAAAGTTATCGTGTTCCAAAGTCTCAACCAATCAAATTGCTTATCTCTGCTTAGCCTTAGTGGAAAATGCGCATGATCAAACTCCATCAAGGCATTCCCTAAAAAAAACACCTAAACCAACTTTGAACATTCTAGCTCAATTAGAAGGAGAGTTATTGTGTCCCAAAAAGTGTGACAGAAAGACAGACACAGACAGACATACCCATTTTAATAGTCCCATTGCTTTCTTCGAAAGGCGGGGGACAAAAAATTCACACAGATAGATATATTACTCTTGAAATATGTATATAGCATTAAGTAGTTTGGTTATTGATTTACACTTCTAACTATTTCCCACTCCATCTTATTGCCTAAATCCCATTATGTGACAGCTTTCTCATTCTGTTCATTCTCTTTAACCTTATTCCAACTTTCTAAGCCCTTGGGGAGTGTAGTATCTTCGTCAATAGAACCTGAAAATATAGTGAATGTCAGAAGTATATGTATATTATAAACTACGAACAGCGTACTAAGACGACTAATTTTGATCGAAAGAATTTGCGCCTCCCTTGGGTATGAATAACAAACAACACGACCAATAATACGTGGAAGTCTGTTAAAGGAGAATACTACCACAAAAAGTTGTTTTAATAAATTATGAAAAATAGCGTTAATATTAGAATATTTTTGGCCCTTTGAAATTTTAAAGGTACAGTGGACTCTGTCAATTCCGACATCGTACAGGATCGATACAATATGCCGGATTATAGACAGCATGTCGGAATATTCAATTGCCTCAATAATAATAATAATGCTTTATTTCGTCCTCATAGTACACAATACAATACAGAATTTACAGAATTATTTACATATATGTAATATAAGTAAACTATTCTCTATGATGTACATAAATAGTTGATAATTTCTTCAAGGTTTCTAGCATCATTATAGTTTACATCTCTGTAATAAATTCTCTAATACTGTTTCGAGTTGAACGTCTTTATCAGTAATTGGACATGAAATTGCTTTAGCAATTTTAGGTACAACACAGGTCATATTTACAAAAATTATATTTAAAACAAATAAAATTGATACTATTAGAGACTGTAGACTGGCTTCCATACAGAGCATGTTTACTACATGCTTAAACATTTGTTACTGCTATTATATGAACCAAGATAAAAGTTTAAAAATCTCTTGTGTAATTGACAATCTATAGGAACATCATTACAAATAACATGTAAAAGATTACTGTGTGTTCGCTGAGAAACACAAAATAATCTTCTCATATTTTTACGCCATGCTGTATAAAACAAGCCAACAGTGAGGCTGATGTCCCCCGCCGAAATCCCCAAATAAATAGATGACACATATTAATTAATCGCACATCTATTTTTTTCCAAAGTATCAAGCAATCAAACTGATTATCAACTATACACTAAGTTTCATCACTCTCTATCAGATAGAATCAAAGTTATCTTCCCAAAGCAGGAAATTGCTTATCTCTTCTTAGCTTTAGCTCGATATGTTAATCATTGAACTCAGTCAAGACGAACATCTACATCAAGTTTAAACATTCTACCTCAATTAGAAGAAGAGTTGTTGAACTCAGTCAAGACGAACATTTACATCAAGTTTAAACATTCTACCTCAATTAGAAGAAGAGTTTGACCAATCAAAATGCTTATTGCTCGTTAGCCTAAGCAGAAAATTCTCATCATCGAACTTAGTCAAGGTATTGATGTAATGAAACTATAAACCAAGTTTCATCACTCTCACTTAATTAGAACTAAAGTTATCGTGTTCCAAAGCATCAACCAATCAAATTGCTTATCTCTGCTTACCCTAAGCAGAAAATGCTGATCTTCGCACTCCAGGAGGGTTATTGTGTTCCAAAGTCTTGGCCAATCAAATTGCTTATCGCTCTGCTTACCCTGAGCAGAAAATGCTCATCATCGAACTTAGTCAAGGTATTGATGTAATGAAACTATACACCAAGTTTCATCACTCTCACTTAATTGGAACTAAAGTTATCGTGTCCCAAAGCATCAATCAATCAAATTGCTTATCTTTGCTTATCCTAAGCAGAAAATGCTTATCTTCACACTCCATCAAGGCATTGACCTAATAAACACCTACACCAAGTTTGAACATTCTAGCTCAATTAGGAGGGTTATTGTGTTCCAAAGTCTTGGCCAATCAAATTGCTTATCGCTCTGCTTACCCTGAGCAGAAAATGCTCATCATCAAACTTAGTCAAGGTATTGATGTAATGAAATTATACACCAAGTTTCATCTCTCTCAATTAATTAGAACTACAGTTATCGTGTCCCAAAGCATCAACCAATCAAATTGCTTATCTCTGCTTACCCTAAGCCGAAAATGCTCATCTTCGAACTCCATCAAGGCATTGACCTAATAAACACCTACACCAAGTTTGAACATTCTAGGTCAATTAGAAGGAGAGTTATTGTGTCCAAAAAAGTGGGACGGACGGACGGACTTATACTTAATATAGATATATATTAAGTAATTATAGTTAACACGCGTTCTTGGTATTGTCGATATCTTCTTCTGTATTTAAACATCTGTTTCCTATGTACAATTTAACATCTCTGATCAAATATTATTATATAATTATTTTAATCCTAAGCTTGTATATATGTTCTCTACTGTAACTTTAGTCTGGTGACCGGCTCACCCTAGCGATACCTATCTCATTATTGTGACCGTTAGCCAGTTTTGGACACTCGTTTATTAAAAGTACAATTTTAACTATTTATCTGAGTTTTCGTTGTTAGTGTTGGAATAATTAAGCTACAACCCCCAGAAAAGAGCACTTCGGCACAACCTTAACAGCGTTGATACAGTTTTGATTAAAAGGGAATAGTCAAAGTTTTGTTTTATCTGGATTGAACTTCAGATCAAAGTCTTTAGAAAATTGACTTGCTATGTCTAGCAGTTTGGTAAGAGCTTGCCTGGTAGGTGTGACAAAAGTAATGTCATCGGCGATATGCTAAAGTGCCTACATAAATATGACCTATATAGCAGCCATTTCCACTATTTTTATACCGGAAGTACTAGATGTAGAGTAACGGAATCTGACGAGGTTTGCCAAGTGTGTATTTGACGTGAGAAAGTCAAATCAAATACCATGCGCTCTCTTACAGGAGATTATTAAATTATCAAGGTAATCAACAAAGATTGACACAAGTTTTATGATAACAATTCATTGGTGATTTCTTGTCAGTTAACACCAACTGATTAAAGGCCGGATTATCGAGTGTTAATTCAACGCAAATCGTGTGACGGGACCGCTGATTGATGTCGTAATTCGGAAAATTCAGAATCTGGACTACTCAAAACTTTTTTGGTTGAAGTAATGGGAAATAAATCAGGACTTGAAAATTATGACAGATTTCACAGAATGCCATAGTATTCAGATGTCGGAAGTGACAAAGGAAAAATATACCCCATTAAAAAACAATTGACATTTATGCATATCTGCAGCTCGTTTTGATTTTTACCGTGAGTGACGTCAGAGACGACAGACGTTATGAATTTCCCTATAGAAGGCTATTGCAACCAAGCACTGCATTATGTCACTTTGACTAACTGGAAGCATAAACATGGTCAATTGCGTTGCTTGGGTATATATACTAACAGCACCAACAATAAATCAGGAAGTGCGTGTCATTTTTTAAAAAATTTCCAAGCGAGGTAACACACAGAAAGATCGGGACACAGCGTTGTTGACGAGGTGACAAGGGCTGGTCCCATCAAAACACTTGTTGGGAGCATTTCAAGTTATCTGCTTACGAACGTGACCCTGCTCGATTGAATTAGAGAGAGAAATGGGGTTTAACATCTAATCGACTCAAACTAGGTCATTTTGGGACTAACATATTGTTCCTAACTTGAACAGGTTGATCTCACTGACCTCTTCTTTGATCTCCAGGATTTCATTTATGCAACAATTCTTTAATAGTGTCGACCTAATAAACACAAATTAACGAAAATAATAGGGCTGAAGCTAGCTGTGCTATAAAGGTCGGCCTAATAATTAACTTGAACTCCACAGGAGTACAGGTTTTCACCACACCGAAACTTCACGGTGAGCAGCTCTAGCAATCGAATGAAAAATGATAACGACAGAGTTTCTAAATTTGATGGTTTTGAACTGCTATCAGTTCAGCAATGTCACCGGCTGTCGAAAAATGTAACTATCTAAGAACTCGATTGAAAATTACCATAATTTATATCCGATTTTCAGTTTTTGTGCACGTTAAAGATTTACATCACTTCCAGTCTGCTCGCAGTACTATAAGTGCTAACTGCAATGTTGACAAGTTTCATGAGAAAAAAATCAGTATTCAGAATTCTATTGCTTCTTACAGTTTCTGGGTTCTACGCAAAATAGAAAAAGAAAAAAGAGAACATTTTTGCGAAAGGCACGAAAAGTAGTATACATTTACGATTGTCTATAGCATTCGGGATATCTGTTTTGCATTGTTAACTAAGAAAAGCGCTTTGTTTATAAATACCTGCAGTGGAGCGCTTTTTAATCACTGGTATTAAGTGATGACGTAATGTAGACCAAAATCCTCTCACATTAACCCTTTCACTGCGTATACCCGGTAGTACCGGGTATTATAAAATGTCGGTAAAATGCGCGTACCCGGTATTACCGTGTACTCAGTAAAGCCCTCGATAAAATTAGTACCGTAACTGCAAGTGCCATCTATTGTATTTTCTATACACTAGAACATATTTCCACGTGTTTCAAAGCGGCAAACCGTAAAATGGCGGAGTGCATAGTGACAACGTAGACGGTGCACTCTTGACGAAGTCGTGAATGACGTCTTGCTGACCAACACGTGGACAATTTCGAGGCGGGTGATACACATAATTCGTTTCCAGTTACTTGATAATGATAGTAGTCAGGACAGTGATTGGTATTATGAAGTGTGTGATTTGTTGCGCGACGTTCCGCCCATGGCTAGCTATGTCTCCCGTGCATGACGAACAAGCCCAATGTGAACACGATAACCCTGTGTCTGCAGTAGATTCTGACAATAATTCTGATGTTGATAATAATGCTGGCCTGCTGGATCGTAAAAGACGTAGGCAATTCCTGAGTCCCGAACGTGTAGATCTATTGACTGACTATATTGATAATGATATGGGACTTGGGGATGAAAGTGAAAGTGAAAGTAAAAACAAGGTATTGCAATCCGCACGTGGTCATGGCAGCGGGAGACGTGATGCGCGTGTTCGTGCGCGGCATTGCTCATGACTGCTATTGATATTTTTGTTCATTTTATATATCTTTATCAAAATCCAGTGAAAAAAACAATATCTTTTAAGTATTTCATGGAGAAAAATTCGTTTTCGTGTTAGCTTTAGTGAGAAATGAGAAATCCAAAATGGCCGCCATGACGTCACGTGACTACCTACATTATTTTGTAAATTT